AGGCTGCACGTGGGGCATCCCTGGAGCTGCCCCCTACCCAACTGGGTGAACTGGGGAAGGAGGGAGCTTCCAGTTCATCCGTGCTGACACCGGGAGGGTTGCAAAGCGCGGGAGCCGTGGGCAGGTACCCCAGGCACGCACCAGCAAACCCCTCCTGCCCACGGCCACTGCAGGGCATGGGGGAGGACACACCGATGAGTAGGGGAGTGGGCTAGAAATTTTGGATGGAAACCACGAGTGACAGCAGGAGAACAAAACCCCCATGCAGTCACCAGTCCCTGATCAGCGAGGAGACACTGTAGCTGCTTTTTTTGGGGTAGGAAAGCTGCTTTTTTGGGTGGGAAAGCCGCTTTTTTGGGCGGCAAAGCCTTCCGGCAAGGAGCCCCCGAAGCCGGCTCCCAGCGCCCGGAGGCGCCGCCGCCAGCGGTGAGTCAGGGCGGGGTTTGCTGACACTCAGCACCCAGGGGAGCCCGGGAAGGGAGACGCTGGAGTCGGTGACTCACCAGAGCTCCACCACCGCCCGCTCCCCTTCCCACCCTGCCCGACCCATCCCGGGGACGGCGCCGATGGAAGAGGTGGGGACACGGCGCCCCATCACCAAGCTCCTTTAGGAGGGGAGCTCTAAGGGGTTGGGGATCCACTGACCCCTTTTAGGGCAAGAACCAGAGCAGCAGGTCCGGACGCAGCCATCTGTAAGGGATTACCTTATGCAAGGTGGAGCTGGGATGGGCTCCCAGTGCCCGCAGCGGTGCCCCAGTTTGTGCTCAGTGAAGCTCCTGGGCTTTGGCCTGGCAGTGCCAGCTCGGGAGGGGTTTGCAGGCCTTGGGATCAAGTCTAGGGCAGCTTCAGCTCCCCACAAAGGACTTCCCAGAGGGAAAAAGCCCTGTACCACACATGCCAAGATGTGACCAGCATTTACCACTAAACCCCAGCTGGGACATCCCACCTGCACTGCCCTGCTTTTCCTGGGGTGAGCAGCCTCCTGGGGACCCCATCCCCATTTCCCAGCCTTTGGCACGGATGGGTTGAGCCATGGGATGCGCTCCTGGCTTGCAGCTTCCCGAGCTGCTGGGGTTTCACTCATCGTGGCACCAATTCGGGTAGAGGTGAGGCAGCCCTAGCACAGCAGGAGCCAAACACCCCGCTCTGATGGGAGCAGTCAGAGGTGCCACAGGCTGCCTTGGGCTTTTGCTCTTCTAAAACCCCCATCTTGTAGGAAATAACCTTTCATTGCTCTCTGGGCTCAACAGGATGGGGTTAGGGACAGGCAAAGCTCAGCTCCCAAGGGAGTGAGGCAGGGATGCGCTGAGGAAATGGGATACAGCGATGCTGACCCGTGCCTGGAGCAGCACCCGGGATGGAAGGGCAGCCCCTTGGCCTCACCCACAGCAAGAGCTGGGTGGCCACGGCACAGCCTTGTGGGTTTGCTCCCCCCTTCCCCTCCCAGCCCCACTTTGGCAGGGCCAAGCGCATTGTTTTGCGACCTGGACTTGGTATTTCCACCGGGACTCCCCCCCCCGCTCTAATGACATCCCGAGATTGTCTCCCCTTCCCGGTCCCGCTCACAGCTGGGAAACTAAGCGCTAATCCCCAGCTTACGGCACTAAGAATAACCCACAAGTTTGCGCAGCCACGGCCCCCATCCCACACAGCCCCCATCCCACACGGCCGCATCCTGACGGTGCTGTTCCCAACCCAGGTAAACCCTTGGGGCTGTAAACAGGGGGTCTCTCCCCACTGTACCCATTTTAATGCCAAGGAAGGGGTGCATCGCCATGCAAAGGGCATCCACAGGAGCTCCAGTGCCTTCCCCTTGATACGAGGATCCTCGAAAGGACGATGGGGATGAGCAGTGACATCTCTCCACCAAAGCATCCCAAAAGTGACCTGGCACCCAAAGGTGAGCATCGTTGCCACTGCTGGAGCCTGTGATGCCCACAAGCACCCGAGCAGGTTTCACACTCCCACAGCCGCTCAACAGAGCAGGAGGAAGCCCACGGCCATCTCCCCTTCCCCAGCAGCAATCCCTGCTTTGGGGACGCGTTGCCCGTCCCTCGGCTGAGACACAAACACCCCCAAATGAGCCCTGCGCAGCCCGGCCACGCTCCAACCTTTACACCCTCCTCCACCCACGCAGCCCGGTAAATCATTAAACAGGGGAAAGGCTGGCACCAACCTGCGGGGCAGGAACCCCTCACACCCCTCTTATCCCCATCAGCTCCTCTCCATCCATGGAGCGTGCATCCCACCTCCGCTCCATCCTCCCAGTGGCTCCAGGAGGATGCCCTGCGGGCTATGCCTTGAGGGAACCCCAGGGAAGATGCTTCTCCTCTTTGTCTTCCTCCTTCTCTACTTTAAATCATCATTTTATTCATATGCAGGGAGCCATCTCCCACAAGGCTCGCGATGGATGCAATGGGGCCATGCGAGGTATTTGAGCCACCAGAGCCGGGCAGGTGGTCCCACCTCGCAGACCCCAAGGCGGCCGCTTACCTTCAACCGGCGACGTCTTCAACCTCTTGCAGACGTTCTGCACGCCACCATAGGAGTCATTGAGCCGGGCGACCGCCTCGGCGCTCCTCAGCTCCATCAGGTTCCTGAGCTCCACCATGGAGCAACCAAAGTCCCCCTCATGGTTGCCTTCAGCAACCGAGTTCCCGGGGTGGTGGTCGGCCACGTTGTTCGTCATCGTGCCGGCGCGGTGACACTGGCTCCTGCGGCGGCGTCCCTCGAGTGTCCGGCGGGGGGGATGCTCGGCACGGTCCCTTCCCTGGGGGCCGCCCGGGTGAAGCGGGTGCCTCTATCCGAGCCCAACTTCTCCAGATAAAGGTGTAAACAGGATGTGCATGTTAACGCGGAGGCGACCTTAGCAACGACCAGCGTGCATCTCCCGCAGAAGGAGGAGGGCTCCCTGGATACCACAGCAACTGGAGCTGCAAAAAACAAGGACGGGGGAAAGAAAAATACCGGCGTTAGGGGGCCTGCTAATAAACGTGTGCGCCCCACGGCACGGGTGAGCAGAAACAGAGGGGTTTGGAGGTGCCGAGCCCAGGAATTAGCATGGTTTGACCCAAAAAATCCCCTGGATGAGCAGGAGTTGACCGTGCGGGGAGCTCACAGGGGCTCGGCACGGAGTGGGGCATTCTCTCGGGTCACGGCGCAGGGAAAACCGGCGGCGGCAGCGCCGGGGCCGGGGAGGAAGGGCGCCCAGGTGGTTCTTCACTCAAACCCAGCTGCCCGGCCCAGAAAAACGCTCCCATTCAGCGGGGTTTACAAATAGGACTCAGCAGTGGAAAACAGCTGCTTCCTCCGCAGGCTGCCGGCCCGGGGCGGGAGCGCTGGCTCCGTGCTGTCAATAGGTAGGGAAAAGCATCTCCAGCCATGGAAAGGGGAGCAGCACCCAGCGGGGAGGTTTGGCAGGACACAGAGGAGCTGCTCAGCCCCACGTGTGTAGAACGAAGAGGTTTTGGCATTAAAAGGCAGGAGCATCCCGCAGCTCTCCCCTGATCCCCAGGGGCTTGCAGCCTGGGGTCCCCTGGTGTTATCCCAGGCAGAGAGGATGGACACATCACAGAGGGGATGGGGTTTTCTCTCAAGAACTCAAGGAACGCTGCGGCTCCGTTCCCGAGCTCAGCCGCCAGCAGCGATGCTCCAAGAGACCTCTCCATGCTATGAAGGCAAAGAGTCCTTGAGAGAGGCCCTTTATGGAGAGAGCATAAAGCTCTTCCTGGAGCTGTATAAATGAATAACAAAAGAGGAACGGCCACTAAGGCAGCATCAGCACTGAGATGGGGGCCCAGAGGTGGCAGAGCCAGCGGCTGGAGAGGCCAAAAACGGGAGGAAGGAGGGAAAACGCCCATTGCCACATCCCAACCATCACAAGGCCGTCCCAGCACCACCCCAATTCCGGCCCTGGTCACACCACCTTTGCAATCCCTGGGGCAGGAAGACCCCCCAAAAAAGCAAATCCCCCCCTTGCAGCCCCAACTGTGGCCCCTGCAAGCAGCTCCTCACCAGCAACGCCCAGGGCGGTGTTATCAGGAGGCCACAGGCACCAACCGAACCTTGGGGACGTCAGTGATGCCACCACCACAGGAGGGTCCCAGCCCAGCATACGATGGGGAGCACTGGGACATGTCCCCCCCATGGCATAGCTGTGGCTCCTGGAGCACCCAAACTTGCCCCATAAAGCAGGGATCACCAGCATCCTGGCCCCACATCCTTGCCCATGGCCAATGCGGTCGCCCCGTGGCTCCTCGCGGAGCCGAGCTCATCCGTCATTTAAAGGCATGGAAGCTGCCGGCAGTGGGAGGCAGGAGACGGCAGCTCCAATTAACCAAACTCCTGCTGATCAAGAGGAAAAAAAGGATAATTCCCCCCGCCTCAACACACTAATTTTTCCCTCTTTCATCGCAACTAACATCATCTGAGGAGAGCTCAGAGGTTAAGAGAAAGACAGTTAATTAATACTGTAACGGCCTAGCCCATAATTACCCCTGAAGGAGCCCACGGGGCACCGATCATCACAATCCCGTGCCTGGCCGTGAGGCTCCTTCCCTTCATCAGCACCGGGAACTCACTCCTCGGGTTGAGAAGAAAGCAGGGACCATGGTGGGGCTGTGCAGCCTTCAAGCATCCTCCTCCTCCAGCCCCAGTCTGGGGCCAGAGCCCCATTCCTGGCCCATCTCTGCCCCATTGACAGCATCACCTCCCAGACAGCAGACAAGGAGGAGTTTGGGGGGTGTCAGGATGAAGGACAAGGACCCCCCTCGTACCCATGGGCCAAAGTGGGAGCCAGGGGGGAAGGAGCCTGCACGCTCCGGGAAGGAGGGAGAGTCTGGCGAGG